GCACACAAGAGGGAAACTGAACCTATGCATCCATGGAGATGAAGGCACTCAGGAAAAATATATTGGTGTTACTGTGAATTGTTCTTTGAAAGTATCAACTCAATCATTAGTAGTGATCATGAAGATACATGGGATGTTAAAGACTTCACACTCACACAAAAAATCAGCCTGTGTAAATCCATGATAAGCCCAAGCATGTGACAGCTATCATGAATACAGTCAAAGTAGAAATGGTACACAGAAAAACCGCAAGAATGGTCATAGACACAGAGTGGCTTCCTGTCTGGAGAACTTAAACACAGGGTTGGAAAGGACCTGTGTGGTCATAGTGTCCAGTCCTGTCTACCACTGGCACTGTCATATATATGTATTTCTATATCTTTATCAAATGTTGCCATAGGATTCTGATTTGAATGCAACAAACTTGTCCAGTTCTGCTAAATCTTCAGTAGGTAGCTGCTCTTCATTTGTTTCTATGACCTATAATTGTTGGGAGAGAGGAATTAAATGATTCACAGTTAATTTCTGTCATGGAATAACTAAGCAAGCAAACAAACAAACAAACAAAAAACAACAAAAGAAAACTCCTATAATGATAGTTAAGTGTTCTTTTGTTGGATTGATTGGTTTTCCTTACAGAGATACTGCCGTGACCCATGGAGAAACCATGGAGAAAATGCTGTCAGCTCTGATGTTTCTTCTTTGAAGCACACATTTATCTTGGAGATTCCCAGTCCCAGAAAAGATACCTATTTGAGTCAAAGCAAACGTTTAATTTGATGCATTAGTTTCAGAGGCTGGGCTCATATCCTGAGTCTATTTCCTGACTAGGGACTGTCAGCTTTTTGAGGTCTGCAGCCAACACCTGTTCTCTAGCATGTGTGGAGCACCTTTGATTACTGATCTGGATAGAAATGTAAACTAAAGGGGGTATTTCTTCAGATTTTGTTTGTAACTTGCCACCACAGAAGTGACTGGCTTATTGATGAAGGAGTTCTCATTGCTGATGTGAATGGAGGTCTCACCAAGAATATATCCCCTAAGAGCTGGGGCCTGAGTGTTTGAGGATGTAGGATGGCACGAAGGTACAGGATGGTGGGTGTTGTAGGAATGCTATACAGGAGGGTAGATTTTCTTACGGATCTTTGCTTCATTGTTTGTTTATTTAAATGACAGCCATGGGTCTGAGAAAACAGATTACACCAAAGTGTTAAGACTTAATGCTGAGCCGAAACAGGAGGGATAATAGGACAATGCTAGCATGTTTGCCACTGAATAAAGGAGTGAGGGTGGTGGTACTGTACCAGTTTTAGGATTGGGTAGCAGGTGCTGCTGGAAGAGCACACTGTGTATTGGCATATGGTGTAATTAATTTCTGGATACTTAATTAAATAATATGTGTGGTGCAAGCAGGATTGGTCAGCGTTGTTTTCCAAACAGCAAAAGCAATGCTAAACTTTGTAAAGATCCCAAACCACTGCAAATATGGAAAATATGGAAAAAAATGGCTGCAAGTCAATGAAGATACAGTCTATAGTCTATTTTAATTCTATTCTATATATTCTATATATTTATATAGACATAAATATATATATATATATATATATTTAGAATATTCTAAATATTCTATATTTTAATTACAGTCTAATTTCTGTTCAGCTGTGTACTTCTTCCTAATACAAGTTTCCCAGCCATTTTCTGATGCTCTAGATTACAGGATATTAAACTCCACCAGCAGGTGTCTTCAGAACTGTGGGAGTCCAGTGAGCAGGTTGTGTTCATTGGCAGAGATTTCTAAATTATCACTTTCTTAAGGTGAGTGGAAACTCTGTCTAAAAGTCACTGGTGTGGAGCAGTGCTGGATGTTAGCTGTCGCTTTCTTCTTTTGTGGGAGGAGGTTTAGTGGAACTTGCTGCTCACTTTTAATGCTGTTGATAAGCTAATAATTGTGTCGCTGAGATCAGCCTGAATTTAAATCAAAATCTTGTGTTGGCCTTTTTTTTTTTTTTCTTTCCTAAATGGGCCTGAAACAAATCCTGCAGCTCTTATCCACACCTAACTACAAAATTATCTTGACAAATATCTAAAATGAATTGCAAATATTGCCATTTACCCAGCCTGCTCATCTGTCCTGTTTTAGAGCCAAATACCCTCCTATTTCATCAAAAGTGTCACTTTTCTACCACATAGCTTCTATTTTTAAGGTTAGTATATTTCGATGAGATTAAAATGTGCACATTTTCTCAAATGGCTAACCTGCCATTTCCAAATAAATGCTTCTTGTCCTCTGCTTTTCTCAAACACATATTTGAAGAATTGGAAGAAACAACAAAATTGAAGAAAATCAGGCTCAGCGTATTTAGAAGCACGTGTGTATGCATGCTCTTTAATAATAAACGTGCTCTTTTGTACTAATTAATCGTAGAGGGAGCTGTTACTTAAACTGTGTTGGTTTGTGATGAAAACACGTTGACCAACAGCTACTTTAAAAATTCCTGTAAGAAATCTTTTAATTATGATTTTGCAGCTAAACGCTTTTTGTTTGAGGATGAAGGGGGCGCAGGAAGCTAGACAGAGGGCAGAATGGGTTGTAAAACTGCAGAAATTTTCAACAGTGTTGCATTATGGAGTCTTAATCTGTTTAACAGTTGAGGAGTCCAGCCTGTTTTTAGTCTCAGCTTAAACAAAGAAAAATTCAAGGTAAAAGGACCTTGATGATGATATTAGAGATTTGGTTTGACTTTTTAACCTAAGTAAGGAGTTATTTAAAACTTCAAGTGATCAGAACTGATACATCCCTGATGATTTCAGGAGAGTAACACTGACTTATATCAGATGAACATCTGTCCCATCAGGTTATGCAAAAGAAAAGCCCGAGTTTAATTCACTGTAAAATAACGAGGTGTTCAGCTTAACTGCACAGCTGTGTTTCCTTGTCTTTAGAGCACTGACTTGCCACGCAACCCTAAAAACTTGGTTATGTGTCTTAGGCTACAATTGTGGGCCCACTCCTTTCCTTTGACCAAAATTCCAGCCTTGCCTCTTCAACATACCCAAATCTGCCTGGCTCTTGCATTGACATGGAAAATTTTGCATCCCCTGAGCTCCTGCAGGAATTGTAGAGATGAAAGTGACTGCCTTGGTCACCGATTATCATTTGCCAGGCTCTTAGCATTTGAGCCAGTATATCTGTTTTTGTGTCTGCTGCCAGCTAACAGCTTCCACCCTCCAGACACTAATCCCTGCAATTCCTTCTGTGCTTGCTTCCAGATCTTGTTCCCTCCGTGAAACTTGTCCACTGACCTCTCTGTGCTGCTATCTATTGTTGTTCCTGGGTGCCTTTCTCCCACCCCTTCCCTGTTCCAGCTTTCTTGCTGCATCCCACGAGCAGGTCCCACACTTACAAGCTCTAAACCCAGCCCGGGGAGTCAAACCTGCCCTGTTGCCAAAGCCTCAGCTCACAGCCGTGTGCTCGCAGCTTAAGATACAAATGATTGGTGTGGTGGTTTTTGTATAATAACGTAGTGGTTGTAATACTTCTCTCAGAAGTGGTTGAATTTGGGTTTGGGTTCTCTTTCTCCTGAGGGATATTCAAATCCACCTGTCCCTTCCCAGGCTGTAGGCAACCTCTCAGCCCTTCCTATTGAAGTTGTGCCACTTCAGTTGTGCTGAGAGGATTCATGCAGCCAGAAAGGAGAAGCAAGTGGGAGCCTGACTGCAGCTTACCAGTAGGGACCTCCCCTGAACAGAGGTGGGGAGCAGGTATCTGGCACCATTCCCAAACCTGCTTACTAAACATTTTGTGTAAAAACATCTCTGGATAAAAATCAAAACTAGCCCTGGAGGCAGAGTCCAAACCCAGCACCTAGCTGAGCAGGGAGAAGTTGAAACCACGTTGCCCTGGCGGCAGGTGCTGTTTTCATGCCACCCCAACCACTCCCTCCTCCTCCAGCCATGTCTTTAAATGAAAGCTGGGGTGGCTGCGCTCTCAAACTGACTCCAGAGCCATGTTGAGGAGTCTTAGCTGTGTTCAGGACTTGTCAGTCTCAAGTGGGCTTTTGTGTTCCTGAGTGGTAAGATGTTCAGCTCAGCCAAAATGGTGAGATCTCAGCATGGAGTAAGAAAAACCTGAGGTACACAAATACCTTCTTCTGGTGAAAAATCTGGGTACCTGTGGACTCTCAGGCACCTAAACAGTTACTTTCTTAGAGCAGGGGAGAAGTTGTAGTTAATTTGGAGTCTTAGACTTGGAAATTTTTTCCCATTGTAATATTGTAGGTACTACTGTGGCTTTGACCTTGCCTCAGAGTGAATTAAGAGCAGCTTTATTTTGAGACGTGACAGAAGGATGCACAGGTTTGACTTCAGCTTTGGAATGTCCAGTTGCCTGTTTAAAATTACTTCAGTTTCACTGTCATTTAGAAACTTTTGAATTTTTTTTCTTGTTATCTGTGGGCTCTCCTTGTGTAAATCAAATGATACCCTCAGGACCCACAGCGTTTACAAAATGATTTATGATCCTCTGAAGGACAAAGGACTGAATGGTAATGGAAATACTTGGCAGATGAGAGAAAAGCAGGAAAAAAATGTGTCCATTATTTGACTGGATGGGGTTGGGATCCCTTTTAAGAGAGAGAACTTCTTCTGGCAGCAAAGATGTCCAGATAAGAATGTCTGTCATATTGTTTGGCTTAAGGTTGAGTAGTTTTCACGGAGGAATTATGTTGTCGAAAGCTTCTGGACCTATTCAAGCTGTTGATGGTGGGACTGCACTGCATAGGGAATGTATGTCTCCATGCTGTTTCAAAGGCTGGTGTTTGCAAACTGAACTGGACCCTCTTCATCTAGACCTTTATAAGACAACCTTGCCAAAGTACAGCTGACCTTTCTCCTTGATTGCTTGAAATCCTCTTGCTTTCCTCTTCATTTCCCTCCCTGCATAATATCTTGTTCTGTTGAACTCTCTCCCCCCCAGATCCGAAGTTCTGCTGTGGGTCGTTGATCTGCTGTGACGAGTCCTGCATTGACTTCAAGGCTCATGGAGGATCTTCTATTCCCAGGACAGCAGGTACCAAAGATTTTCTTCCACAACGTAAAAAACCCCAAAGCTATAAATGTGCAGGTGTGTGCAGCCTGTTTCCCAAGCCCGTGCCTCTGTACTGCTCCACCTCTGAAAATCAGGGCAAAGGAACGCAGAAGAGTGTTTTGGGGCAGCAATTTCTGTGCGTGGAGAAGTTGCTGTGTTGTCTCCTCTTCAGCTGGAGGAGGTCAAGGCCATCGCTGTTGCAGACCCTTGCAAAGATTTGCTTCACAGGTTTGTACGTTGTGACTAGGGGAGTTCACATTATAATACCTGCTTTTTGTGGTGATTGCTGATTTGGGTTTTTATAGGCTTTAATTGACTGATGTTTTATCCTTGAAACCTGTTTGCTTTCCTTTGATGCACTCGCTCAGACATTGCTGTGTGAGTGGATGTATCAGAGATATTAACCAACAGAGTGAGGGATATATTTTAGAGCTGTGGGCTTTTAACATGTTTTTCATGGTCTTGAGATTCCAACATTTTGGTGTCCTGTGGTGGACATGTCTTCTTATGGTCATGTAGTGAAATGTAATCTCATTGATGCCCCGAGCTCCTACCTGCTACAAGAACATTGCTTAAAGAAAGACAAAATATTTTCTCTTTTTATTGGTTCTTATGCAAAATTATAGCATGTAGAAAATCAGCTTATGGCATCCAAAAATAGTTTTGATTTTTAACAATCTCAGTTTTGTCCCAAGATGGTGCAGAGTCTGGAGGGACATGCAAAATGTTTCTGGATTTTGGAGGGAAAATAAAACACTTTTATCTTCTGAGGGGTTCTGCTGTGAGGCAATGGCTCATTCCCCCTTTAGTTATCCCCTCATTTCCTCAGCCATTACCTGTGCTAGCATAGTTCCTGTTAGAAAAGAGCCAAGTAAAGTAATAGATGTATGCGTATGTATTGTGCTGTATGAAGCAGCACAGATATTGGTTCTCTGAAGATAATTAACATTAGTCAAATATAAACAGAAATCTCAGTCAAAAGATCTACTTACTGTTTTACTATTGTTTCATACAGGATTGAGCATTTGGGAATGAAAGAGAATTGACTGGAACATTTTTGGATGCAGAATAATATCAATATTACATCATGTTCATAATCTGAACTAAAGTTGATCTTGCTTTCCCTTACTGTAGCATGTCAAAAGCAGTGGGAAAAATCTAAATTATCTTAAAAGTGAAAGTGACTCCAGTAGCTTTAAGACTGATAACTGGTAATGCCAGCAGTATTTTAAATGCTGAGGCAGGAACTTGCCTGCCTGAAGGAGTTCTTGTTTGTAAGATAAAAACCTCATATGGAGGCAGAGTAGAATAGAGTTTCCAATATATTTAAAGTATTGAGCTGCGTAAAACACTCCAAGAATATTCCCTATATTAGTAGTGACCATTCTAATGGATTCTCTTCTGCCTCATAGCAGAAGAATCTGCAGAAGAAAACTGAAAATGTTTACTTCTGTCAAAGCAAACATTAATAAGGTTGTGTCTGATTCTGCTTTAAGGACCTTCACTACTGAAAGAATTATCTTATTCCCGCATTCCGAGGGGGTATTTTGCACTGCTTCAAAACCTTTTTGGACCTTTCTTTTGGCTTTCATCTCTGGTTTACTGACTCCTGCAAGACAGAAAAAGCATATTAATTTTTGTCTTGGGATCTGTTGTGGCTCAATGTTTTGGCTTTTACCCAGTGGCTGGTGGGAGTCTGGATGTCAGTTGTAGTTATCTGATAACTGCATACAATGCTCAGAGAGGCACTGAGATCAAGAAAGGATCTGCAGACTGGTTGATGAAAGAACTTGCTTATTGTGGCAGCTGGTTACAGCAGGGATCAAAAGTTATGGTAGCTGCACTTTGGCACGGCCATGTGGTATCGTACAGGTTTTAGGTGACAGGGAAGATCAGAAAGTTAGTTGGGAGTATGTGATGTCATGTTGAACAGCTCGTGTCAGACTTGCTGTTTTGCTTTCAGAAAGGTGGGGTGATACTCTGGAAGCGTTTACTGTTGCCAGAAGAAATGGATAGGGTTTTGTCTTGTCCCATGTACTGGAGTTGACCCAAATCCTCATTTCCCAGGTGTGTGCTGGGCCATCCAGCCGTCACAGCTCATGTGTTCAGTGGTCCTGGCAGATGAGCACTTCACTGAAATTCCTTGTAATGTATTCACAAGAAGTGATGAAATACTCTATAAGTGGCCTCAAGGAATGATTAGCTTAATCTTCAATTATTTCCCACTGAGACTTGATGAGAAATCATTTGAAAAGGTAGACATGAGCTTTAATATAATCTGCCTTTACAGCTGTCATGAAGCAAAGTGCGCAGAGAGGAAAGATGTTGCAAGTGAAGAAAATCATGACATTAGGATTGAATATTTTCAACAACTGTTATGCATTGTTGGTCTCCTTGAGTGGCTTCAGCCACTGGAATACGGGTACAGGGCATTATAGGCAGTTTGGGAAAAAGAGCACAAAATATGTTGCACAAATCTGAAAACTATTGCTATTAGGTTAAAGCTGCTGTATATTAAAGAAAAAGAATATTTTCATTTTTGTGGCTTATGAGAGGCTGACAAAAAGCAGTCATACTTGTTATGCCCTTAGATGAGAAGGTTGGCTGATCAGGCTGTTGAGCTCTTTGGAAACCCTCAGCAAAACAGCTACAGCCAGGTAGTTTTTACTCTTTTATAGTGAAGTAGGAGGTGAAGAGAACTGACCTCCATAAGTCCTTTAGAGCTGCCTGATTGCTTCTAGTAAATAGTTTCACAAGAGTGCCTCCCGTGGGAAATGCACTATTACTTTCTGTTTGCACAGCAAATGAAAAACTCTGACCACTTCTATAATTTAAGAGAATGAGATAATGCCTTGTGAGCTGACTTGGTTTTATCCAAATTGTTTAGTCTTGATCTCTCTGCTATCAGATGGTGATTTGTGATCTCTGGCCCTACGGTCATTAAAGCTATTTTTTATAATCAAATAATCCCAAATTCCTGAGCAATTGAAGATTTGCTTAGAAGATGGGGATCCAACAATCTACTTCTGGCTATGCAGAAGTCTGTCAATTGAATGTTTAGGAATGAAACGATAAGAGTTCTCTTGTGCCATTCACATCTGCCACAGACTCTCTCTATTTACATCTTCAGAATGGATTGTCACTTACATCTGTGTTGTTTTAGGTTCCATATGTTTTAAGCCCCCCTTCCCCCACCTTGAAACATCAGGATTAAGTTTCTTATTTATGCTGCGTGTGAACAACTCTTGTGGAGTTTGGCAGGAAATAGGTAGGCTCTGCACTACTGAAAACTGGATCTGTAGCTCCTCAGTTTTCTTATTTTCTCACCTATTGGAGTAGCTTTGCTGCAAAAAACATTGAGTGCTCACTAATCTATCAGCAATCAGGGCCATAGTACCAATAGAATCATTAAGGTTGGAATGACCAACGAGATCTTCTAGTCCAGCCATCAGAGTGACCACATCACTCAGTGTGACGTCCACCCTTTTCTCAAAAACCTCCATGGATGATGACTCTGCCACATTTAAAATAGTCCTATTGAACTCAGTGATCCCTGTGGATCCCTTGCAACTAGAGATATTCTGTGACTCGCTTGCATGGTCTGCTCAGCTGGGGAATGGCTGGTGGTAGGTACCAATATACAAAAGCTGCTGCTTTTGGTGTAGTATCAGCATTGCATGCCTCTGCATCTGAATACTCAAATTGCAGTAGGCATTTTTATGCACGCAAATCATGTTTCTTTTCTCTGTGCAGATGTATATTTATTCAAGGCATATCCTCTGGCTTACAAAACCAAATGCTGTGTTGAATGAAAAACTCTGGGGAGGATTTTAAAATCACTGGTGGCAGTGGACAGCTAGTGTTGGAGGTAGAGGAATTTGCATCCACAAGCTGTTTGTGGGTTTGCATTTGTTCAGAAGAATTTATGAAAGGAGGCAGAGTGATGTTCTTGGACTCTAAGCTGTAAGGCTGGAAGGAATACTTCTGGGTGCAAATGCTAGAAAGTATTTCTTTCATCCACGGACTGATGAGTTTCTTGTCTTTCACTGAGGCCGTGGAAGGAAGCGAGCACACTCTCCTTTGTTTAGTGATAGCTGAAACAATAGAAGCTGATACACAAATCAGAGGAGTGTGTTAAAGCTGAAATATAAACTGAACCCTGGTGGCTAGAGAGTGACTGGAATGGAACCGTGTGTGATAAACAGAGGATAGCCACACAGAAGGAAAACAGCTGTAAAAAGCCAGGAGTTGATGGGAAACATGCAAGCAATTTCAATCCAAGCTTATGAAGAAAGCAGCAAGAGGAGATGTGGTGTCTCCAGGCAGAAGGCAGGCTGGAGGAGCAAAAGATGGGTGCAAAAGACGGAAATGGCCAGAGAGCAAACCAGAATGTCCAGAGAGCAAAACTGGAACATCCTAGCAAAAATAAGTGGCTCAAATGCCTTCTCATAATGGAGAAGCTCAGAAGACTGCAAATACTGGCAAGCCACTTAAAAGGAGCAGCATTATATGTGTATCACGATACACCTTTTATGTTGAGGCGACACCTTATCCTGCATGTCACAAGGTGTGAGAGCTAGCACTTCAGTTGCCAGTTGTGTTCATCTTGGAGATCTGATCCACTGTGTTGGTAGCTGAAGAATTTGTGTAGATCATCTGAACCTGCATTTGCAAATGCAGACAGTACGGGACTTCACTGGCCACATGGCTGCATGGCCTCTGTTGGGTGACATGGAAATACGTACTTCTGCTGGAAACCCAGAGTGTTTTTGGCTTTCCCACAGAGTTTCTTATTGAGGAACTGAGCTTTCCTGAAAAACTCAGAGCACAGCATTGGGAATAAAGTCAAGACCAAGCACTACTTGCTATGATGATTCCAGTTGAGCAGTTGGATCTCCTTGAAAACCGTGATCAATTTTCATAAAAGGACACCAAAACCCTTTAGGGATGACTGGCAGTGCTTGGCAGTCTGTCCCAAGAAT